TATATATATATATATATATATATATATATTTTTTTTTTTCAAATAGTTCAAGAGAGACTACTCAAAATTTGCAGTGTTTTGCACATTAATGGATTGTTCAATGGGTAATCTTATGGTTTTAAATAGTTATATGGCGACTGTTTTCAATTAATTGATTAGAATCACATTTTAGTGATGAAAAATATTTCCAAAACATTTAGTAATGGATTATTAATATTTAAAATATTTGAAGTAGTTTTTTTTCTTCAAATGGTTGAATTTTGTACTTGTTTATCAGTTCCAAAATTTAATAAATCAGTCACTGAAGGCACCGTGCTCTGTTTAAGGTCTTTTGTTTCTTACAACCAAAAATGCTTTTGCGCTCATTAGGGGGTACTCGGCTGAAAAAAATATTTCACAGGGGGTACATCAGTCAAAAAAGGTTGAGTACCACTGCTCTAGAACTCTACCGGAACCACCCGAACTCAGACCATTATCTTCACCGCCCATCATACATAAAAATAAACCCTTTTTACTTACCTTTGTCTCAGTGTGTGATTCTGCATGTCAAGGGTCAAGAAGCTACAGCCCAACATGACACTCTGTGCTCTCCACTCAAAAGAACCCCGGTAGCTGAGAGTCCATAAATGATGTAATATAGGTGGAAACATTTTCCTGACTCTCCCTGGATGTGTAGGATATCCAGCTCCCCCATAATTTGATCCATACTCCAGGATGAAAAACCGGGCAGTATCATCAATACAAGAACCCACCCCCGGACAGAGAGTGAAAAGTGGAAATGTCTGGCCTCCTGGTTTGATGCCAGCTCTGGTTTTCTACATGCAGCTTATGGAAGATTTAAACACAAAATGGGAGACTATCTTAAATGTGAAACAGAGCCTGATCGTGCTTCTCTCCAGGTCAGTGCATGTCGGCACGGAGCGCACGCGGGGTGTGGGGTGGTGCATTCAAGAGTTGGGGTTGCCAAGCCGTTGCTTGGCCCAATCTTGGGGTTGCTTTAGCAACCCCTAGCTACCGCCTGGTGCCGCCCATGCACCCAAGGTCCTACACTCTCTGTGTAAAAGCCAGGCTGCTGCATTCCTCACAACCTACTCAAAGACTCCATGACTTTACAGTTATAAGTTAAATAATCATAAAGTGGTGTGAAAAACTATTTGCCCACTTCCTGATTTCTTATTCTTTTGCCTGTTTGTCACACAAAATGTTTCTGATTGTCAAACACATTTAACCATTAGTCAAAGATAACACAAGTAAACACAAAATGCAGTTTTGAAGTTATGGTTTTTATTTTTTAGGTAGAGAACTAAATCCAAATCTTCATTGCTCTGTGTGAAAAAGTAATTGCCCCCTAAACCTAATAACTGGTTGGGCCTCCCTTAGCAGCAATAACTGCAATCAAGCGTTTGCAATAACTTGCTACGAGTCTTTTACAGTGCTCTGGAGGAATTTTGGCCCACTCATCTTTGCAGAATTGTTGTAATTCAGCTTTATTTGAGGGTTTTCTAGCATGAACCGCCTTTTTAAGGTCATGCCATAGAATCTCAATAGGATTCAGGTCAGGACTTTGACAAGGCCACTCCAGAGTCTTCATTTTGTTGTTCTTCAGCCACTCAGAGGTGTTTTTTCTGGTGTGTTTTTGGTCACTGTCCTGCTGCAGCACCCAAGATCGCTTCAGCTTTAGTTGACGAACAGATGGCCGGGCATTCTCCTTCAGGATATTTTGGTAGACAGTAGAATTCATTGTTCCATTTATCACAGCAAGCCTTCCAGTTCCTGAAGCAGCAAAAAGACCCCAGACCATCACACCACCACCACCACATTTTACTGCTGGTATGATGTTCTTTGTCTTAAATGCTGTGTTACTTCAATGCCAGATGTAACGGGACATTTGCCTTCCAAAAAGTTCAACTTTTGTCTCATCAGTCCACAAGGTATTTTCCCAAAAGTCTTGGCAATCATTGAGATGTTTCTTAGCAAAATTGAGAAGAGCCCTAATGTTCTTTTTGCGTAACAGTGGTTTGTGTTTTGGAAATCTGCCATGCTTAAAGGACTGCATTTCAGCTGCTTTAGTTTTATTTTAATGAGCCAACCAACTTGTGTCTGTGATGCGTGCATCTCCATGGGAGACCATCCAATGCATTAGGTCAGTAAAGATTTCATTGTACAGTTTTGTTACATATTATCATGAAATAAAACTGCCAGTGCAATATTCATAAAAAACACAAAGCATAGCATGCATACAGCCCCAATGATTTGGAGTCTGTTTCTTGAAATCTTCCTTCTTCACAATACAAAGCACAACCTGTTAATTGATAGAAAAATATGTTGCCATGTTACACTTTAGGAAACCATGATCCACTATTATGTGGCCTTTATGTGGCTCTCGTTGGGCCACTGTTGGCTTAAGTACCTGTAGCACCAATTTATCAGATTAGGTATTGCTTCAGGCTTGACTTCTTCCAGCAGTCAAACAAACACTACTGAAAACATTTATTGCAAACAACTAGTTAAGTCAAATTCACTCTGTGCTCTAATCTCACAACCTCTCCCTCCTTAACAGGATCAGTACTTTCCTCAGATTGTTTTCAAGGATGTAAGTAAATTCCAAATGTGTTATTATTATCAGTGTTACATTATGATATAATTGAATCATATGTAGCGTTGTTCATCTACATAACTAGAGTTATTTAGATATATTTATATTTATATTTAGTCATCTATACTTACTTATCTATTTAGTAAGCTTTTACTTTTAGCATGACTCTCTAATATTTTGCTTTTACTGTATTATACCTTGTTCTTTTTTTCTATTGTATTATGCTGCTGAGAGACCGCTGCTTGTCAAACACATTTCATTGCAATGTTGACCCTGTGCTAACTTGCATATGACAAATAAACTAAACTAAACTAAAACTAAGAATTTAATGCTGTTGCTATACAGCTCTGCTAAATTCTGAGAAAGATCAAATGATTTGGTAATGAAACTTATATATATATATATATATATATATATATATATATATATATATATATATATATATATATATATATATATATACATATATATCCACGGATATTTCTATAGTCGATAGAAATTCATACACCAACTGGCTTGGTCTATATTTAATCCAAAGATTAATATTTAATTTATGGGATTTAAATTAATAGCAAAAGTTTATTTATTAATTCAGAAGATTTAAAGAGATTTTTGTTCGTTCAGTGACCAAATATACACCACTCTGTGTTCTACCTCACCATTCAGACGACCCTCTGTTTGGATCCGGAGGTCAAGGGAGGATGTTGATCAGCCTCAGGGTACTCGGTCCGGTAGAGGAGACCAGTGGTACCGACTCTCTGGTCATCAACAGGTGTTGAGTTTGCGTCTTAAATTAACTCTGAAGGAGTTTTGCGTCAGCTTGTTGCAGATGGCATTTCTTGTTGAAGCATTTCTATCAGCGTTACAGAAAAGTTTTTAGTAGAGGTTTCGAGCGGCCGACCCGATACCCTAGACTTTCTCGTGCCACGGAGAGATTTTGGTGAGCTCAAGAACTGAACTTGAACTGAGGAGGTTTGGTTTTAACATACCTCAGAACATTCCCTCTGAGAGATAGAAAGCTTGGTGTTATGGAACAAAGACGTGAGTGTAGTTACCTTTACCCTGACTTCTGTGTCCTGCATGGTGTGTATAAGTGCGCATGACCTTCTGTCACTGTTAAACATTACTGATTATCATAAATAATAATTATTATTAACCAAAGAATAATAATTAATTTCAGTAATTAAATACATTTATAATGAACCTTGATGATTATTTATGAACCTTGTAATAGGACAGTGAAAAGAGTTTATTAAAAATTATTCTTTTAAATCTTGAAGTGTCCTTCGTCTTGTGGATGGAACAGCAGTCAGATAAAGGCAGTTCAGATTGATCAGAATCAGAAAAGGTTTATTGCCATTGTCAGTGAATAAACAATTCACAAACTAGGAACTTGCTATGGTACTAATGTGCTACATATAACATAAATAATAAGATTAAAAAAAGAATAAAATAGAATAAAACTTTCAGCTATAAAAAAATGGCAGGTAAAGGTGGTTTACAGCAGACTTTGTGTCTCCTGTAATGGATAATCTGTAAATAGAAGTACAGCCAGGACAGCTTGACCCAGCTGAGGAAGTGTGACCTTTGGGTCACAAATGAGGCCATTCATGTCGCTACACATACAAGGTTACTTCTTAATAGTTTTGTTGCGATTTGCCAATAAACAGTTACAAAGCTGAATCACTGAACTATTTTATTTATCATACTTTAAAGGTTTAAACCTTTTAAGCTGTGATCAAAAGCTTTTCTGGTCAGATAAAAAATGAAAGAATGATCTCAACTAAAGAAAATGTTTGTGATTTGACCTGTGAGGTTGAGTCGTGAGTGTGGACACTGGTTTCAATCTTTAGAGGGTGTTTAGGAATTGCTGAGGTGCTTAAATGCAGCTCAATCTGAAGTGCATTTTAAAGTCTGTTTTAGGGGAAACGGATTGAGCTACAGTATGAAGCAAAGGTTGTAGGGTGGATATTCTTTGTTCACACTGAACAAAAGCTTTACAAAGTCACGCATAAGCCTCATGCAGAACTGTCCTCCTCCCAAAAGCAATCTTTTCAATCATATTATGACCTCAATTATGCTCCAGGTGCATGTCACCTGTCAAGAATTAGCTGTTAAGTTTTTTCTGGGTTTGTTTTTTTACCATAGATTTTCCAGGGTTTGGCAGTGAACAATTTTGTTATTGTAGCTTTTATCAATCCAAAGTAATAGTTGGAATTAGTGACATCTTGATAAGCCTGGTAAGTGTAAAAAATGTTTATTCTAAGTGATTGCTGCTGTAATGAATAACTTTGCAAAGTAGTTTTTATCTTCATCTTTATTATACATCTATTGATTCTGTATCTTCTTGACTTTGCCTGATTAAAAAATTTAATCCAACAATCATCTCTCCTCTCTTACTCACCCATGAGGTACGACACTATTTTGCACATAGAAGCTCCAAAGATGAAGTCCTTCAGAATGTTGGGGATGAGGGTGAAGGGCATGCAGAATATGGCCATCATCAGGTCACTGACGGCGAGCGACAGCAGGAAGGTGTTGGTGACGGTGCGCATTCGCTTGTTGACAGTAAGCACAACGATGATCAGCAGGTTGCCGAAAACACTCAAAAAGAAGATGAGCGAGTAGAGCATGATCCGTAGTGTGTGGTCGTCTTCTGCGAGAAAAAAAGATAAAAGATCATCAAGTTCTTGATCATGATGAGCAAGTCAAACGTGGTATGCAGGTATTTTACATTGCTCGAGTAACAAGCTGTTGGCTTAATAATTTAATCAGACCTGATATTTCTTTTAAAAAAGATAATTCAAAGAGCTGTCAGATTTTTATTCTAACCCGTCTATATGGAACTAGGATTGGGACAATATTACATGTAACTTGTAACATGTTTTGTAACTGTAAATTTTGTTTCGTAGAATTTATTTCACGTTTTGTAACACATAACTTCGTTTTATAACAAATAAATTTGTTTTGTGACATGTCATTCTCGTTTTGTAACACGCAACTTTTGGTACGTAACATGAAACTTTCATTTTGTAGCTTGCAGAAAAAAGTCTATTTACAAGTTTCAAATCACAACTCTCAAAGCACACATCTCAGTAGGATTACATGTTACTAAACAAAAGTTATGCATTACAGAATTAAAGTTTCATGTTTAAAATTTGAGATTTTTCTGTTACAAAACAAATGTAGCGTCATGAATGTCCTGTTTTTGACCTAAAGGTCATGATCTGCTGTGTCTGCTTGAGCAGAGACATAAAGTCTCTGACAGGCTAATTTACATGAGATATTGGCCAAGGTCTTTCATGCACTCTGCTCATCTGAACTGCTTCACCTCTGTTACAGCTCACAACGAAGACAAAGAACTCTCTTTTGATTAATAAATAATCAACAACTTTGTTATTACCAATAATAATGTGAGCCCAATGTTCAATCAATCTGTGAAATGACAATGTTATTACTTGATATCATATCAAGTAATTATAATCTTGGACAGCTGCACTAGACACGTGATGACACAGAGTAATGCTAAAGTCACATGACACATTTTCTTTTGTCTGATCCAGTCAGAACCTTTGTTTCTGACATGAGGCGTGGTTTTCTGTGGTGTTTGTATAAACCCTTTTTGCATGTCAAATTCTGATTCGCCAGTAAACCAGAATATGACAAATATAAAAACAATTCCACGCCACCTTTTCTTTAGTTCAAAGTGTTCTAGAGAAGTCTCGGACAGGCCATCCGGACTTCCTCTTCAGCCAAAAAACCTCGGCAAGCTGGATAAAATCTGTTGCAAGTTACACCTGACCGCAACGGTTCCTTCAGAATAAAAGCTGGACCTCACGACCCCTTCAGGGTCTCGGAGACGCCAGTGATAACCTGTCGTGACCTGGAAGCATTCCAAGACTAGTTTGGTCGGCACCGCTGCTTTTCTACCGGCTTCGGTTCCAAGGAGGGTCCAAGAGGACCTTGACATTCTGGATCTAACGGAGGCTTCCCCTGGGTATGTAGACCGACAGATGGCGTTTCATGTGTGTTATAAATCTCCGACTAAAGCTTAGAGCGAAACATTCACTCCCACTCAGAACTAAATGCTTCTCCGGATCCTAAGGTTCCGATAACCACATTCCACACGTTTACATCATTCATCATGTCTCACTCCACTTTAGTTCCAACAGTCCACCAAGTGTTTAAGTTAGTCTTGTTTAAATTGTGTAGAAATAAATTTCTTAACTATTTTAAACCTGACTCTCTGTCTTTAATACGAAGTGTCGCTTAATCCCTGCAATAAAAAGTTCTGATCTTCTGCTTAAAATATTCAAAGATCCATGAGATTGACATTTCATATTTCTATGGAATCTCACATTTTACGGTTCAATAGTAGGATGTAAATTACCCATCCTTTACAAAAAAGTTACAGTTACAAAGCATGTTAGAAGTTACAAAACTTGGTACAAGTTATATGTAATATTGTCCCAATCGTAGCTCCATACTTCTTTAGAATCCCACTTTGAAAGATCTGAACAAACACGCATTTGTATTTATGTCCAGATTTAGAAAGTGAAACATGTTTGAACCTGGTATGTTTGCCTGAAAGGGGCATTTGATGGATATCCTGGCAGAAATAACAGTCCTATAGATTTCTAGATACTGAAATAATCTAACAAAAGGGTTTAAGAAAGAGCTGGACATGGCAATTTTAACCTTTCACTCAAATCAAAACACACCCAATAATGGCACCATTGCTCCCTTCTATTTTGGCCAGTGTTACAAAAGTATATATCACCACTGAGGGATCACTGAAAAGCCCACACCTTATCCAAAATGCTGAAGGCAATGAGGACAAGAGGTAGCTGGGAAACTGGGTTTAGACCAATACATGATCCCTGCATTTTCACTGAAACATGTTCTTTTTCCAGTTCTGACTTAATGTATGTTTACAACTCAAAGAAATCATGCATACACTGTAAAAGTGTTATTGTCTGAACACAGGGTTAGGGTTAGGGAGTGGTCAAAATGAAGTTTCTGTTGACCCTACTGTGCAGATAAAGCTACATCATGGGTCAAATATTCATTCATCTGGTAAAATGACCCTTAACAGGATCAAGAAAGGATCTAGTCCAGCTCATGGATACTTTACATTCCGGGTTTTAGCTTTGCTAATGTGGATCTGTACAGAAAAAAGTCACTATAACCTGTGACAGCTGCATTCAGAAGCACCCCCACCCCCACCCCACCCCCCCACCCCACCTTATCTGAGGAACATCTGGCGAGGAAGAACGAGCTAGACTAAAACGTTTTAGGAGCCAGGACAATTTAACAAAGCACGTGCATTGTGGAGGTCTATATTACCCAGAGTGATGCATAAAGGAGATTTTCTGATATCGCTGTGCTGTTTATTTATATATTATATTTATTATTTTGAACAACAACAAAAAAAAAACTTTCATGCATTCATTAGTCTATAGATGATTTTTTTCTTATGCTGCACCTATTGCACTGTAACTGATCACCCCTAAATGTTGCCTTTTATTAGATTCTTAAATATGAATTTAATGCATGTATTTAATTTGATCGGAATGTATTTATGTATTTTGTTTATGCTGTCATGATGCCTTTGCTGTCCTTGCTCCCGGAAAGAACTGAATTGCTTCTGCGTATGAAATGTGCTGTACAAATAAAGCTGCCTTGCCTTTTTTTTCCTAACAACAAATAATCTTTCATGTTACTGTGTATATCTTTATAACTACAGTCAATTACAACAATTTTCAGAACTTTTTTATTTATTTATTTATTTATTTATTGTCATTTTCCAATTTAATTGCAGCTGAATTTAAAGGCCTCATTGTTGCATTAATATAAAGCAAAGTGCATAGCACAGTGGCCTGAGGGATAATCTCCCTTACTGGACCGCGTCTCTCTACAGTCCGTGTTATTTATGTTCTTGCCTCGCCTGCACCTCAGTCTCCTGCTTAGACACAACACGCTCTCCAAAGGTTACGTACTGTGTCTGTATCCTGGGGATTAGAGCTCCCCGTGTGCGCCGCATCTGCACAAGACAAAACCCAACACATATAAGCTCCAGTCCACCAGCACAATAGGTAACAGCATGCGCAAACACACTCAGGAAATAAAATACCACCAGTTCCTCAAAGGCAACAGTAAATCACATTGACTGAAATTTAGAAAACAACTGCTGATGGGTCTTTTCTATTCAAACCTCTAACCAAATTTACCCCCGTCACCATAATTCTTCCTAAAGCTTTTTTATGAGTGTGTTATTCAAGCACCTTGGAAGAGATCACAAATGATTTACACTGAAAGCTTTCATCAAACGGAGTTATGCGATTTTTGACCCGTGGCTCCAACCCTCATATTGAAAAACTTATTGGAAGAAAGTGGTTTCCATTATGCAGTCTTTGTCAATGTTTGCATGGAAGAAAAAGCAGAGATTGTTGAAAGTCTTTTTAAAATGTGACCATCGAACAAAAACAGCTTTCTAAATGGACCAATTGGAGATTGATTTATATTTTATTCATTGGTACCACTTCTTCCTTGCTGACAGGTAGCAGCTGCTGAGAGTTAATAACACGTGCTTCCCGGCGATGATGACTGTTTGCAGTGCCCAACAAGAATGTGTCCGCTATACTGATGAGTTTATGTTACCAAAGCACCTAACCATATGTCATCAGCCTTTTCTAGCCACCCAGCACCCTTTACCATTTGGTTCAAAAGGCTCACCTTAGATCAGTATTCTGCATCTTCCTTTAGAAACAGTTACAAGTTGGTTTCTTTGGGGGAGCATGTCTTAATTACATCAAGAGAAAGCACTCAGGTGATATAAAGACTGATGCAGTTGGGTTTTCAGTATTGCCTTGCAGCAACAAAGGTTCTACACTTGGTTGAAGCTTCTTGGTGTTTGCACGTTCTGCATGTGTATGCGTGGATTCCACAGACCAGAGACATGCATGTTATGTTATTTGTCCATTCTAAACTGGCTAAGTGTGTGAATGTGTGTCCAGGGTGGTTTATTTCGATGTGACCCCTTAATAGACTAGCAACCTCTCCAGGGTGTACCCCACATCTCACCTCGTGATCTCTGGGAAATAAGCTCCAGCTCTCTCATTTTCTGAACAATTACGAAAAAGGAAAATTACCTAAACGGCTGCAAACTCAGATGTAATGACCATCAGTGCGTTGACAGAACCGAGTCATGAAGACACACAGGCTTTTTCTGTGATATAGTTTACAGACAAGTAAGATTATAATAATCCATGCTTCCACAACACATTCTTAACATACTTAGATTGCGTTATAATAATAAGGTTAATTTGTTTCATTTAAGTTTAATATTTAAATGTATAAATACTTTTAATCTCTATGCCAAAACTCATAATATTTATAATGTATTGATTGATCAAAAAAATAAAAACAATTTCTCATGATAATTCCTTTATCTTTATTTTGTTTCACCATCTGAAGCCTGTTTTAATGTGGCAAATTTCAAAGGATTATGGGATATCTATAGGTCACCATCATTGATCAGGGTTTCCCATCAGATCTAAGCACTTTAGGATCATTCTTCAGGGATTTAAGTGTTTCAAATGGATTTAAAAACACTAAATATTTTCCTTGGCCTGAGCCGACCTAACTGAGCCAGTA